CCCTGAAGGAGGGGGAAAACAACTCCAGAAAGGACAAAAGTAGCAAGGAACAGAGTAAGACTGGAAAACAAGAACAACTCCCAGCGAGTTACGTGGTTCTACCCTACATACATGGAGTTACAGAGAGGTTGAAGCGTGTATATGCAAAACACAATGTGAGCCTGTACTCCAAACCGGGCTTCACCTTACGTAATGCCCTTGTGAGACCCAAGGACCCTCTAGCACCTGGTGAGAAGTGCGGTGTGATCTACAAGATCAAGTGTGAAGAGTGCGGGGAGGTTTACGTTGGTGAAACTGAGCGGTCACTTGGGGAAAGGACTTCTGAACACCAAAAGTCATTACACCAGAAAGACTGCAAATCTGCATTAAGTCAACACCAACTCCAGGCTGGTCACAACATCACTACCAGGCCCATCTCTGACATTATTGAAATCATAGATCAAGAGTCTCGTAACCCACATAGGAAGATTAAGGAAGCGGTGCACATACAGTTGGAAGGTGCCAAGCTAAACCGGACAGAAGGTTGGGACCTCCCCAAGACTTACTTACCCTTACTTCGGAGGGAGGCGACGGGGGGTGGGACCCGACAGACCGATGCAAGTCTCGGGCCTAGTCTCGCGCTCTCGCGAGATTAGGCCACTCCGTGAACAAGATGGACTGATAGCCATCGAAAATTTGGAGGTTAGTATCCTTATCCTTCCAAAGTTGTCACTGATGAAAGAATTCACTAGGAACTATCCTTTTAAAGTCTGAAAAAAAAATTAAATTTTTCTGGCCCCAAGGCAGGAATTCCAAGTACCTGTCTTCCCTGTAGTGTTTTCATCATTCCATATTTAGTTCACACATGTGAGATCACAGTCGGTCCCTCAGGCGCCCTTCAAGTACAGACAACATGATGTCCCCTCCATCAGTCCCCATTTTCCCATAATCCCTTCGGTGTCTGTACCACCTGAGCCTTCTAATGTCAAGGTCAAGTGTAGTTGACCTTGAAGTTCCCCCAAGGACAATGTCATTTCCCTTCTGAAAGGTCCATTAGTATAGGTTCAGCCTTACCTGATGTGATTCTAATGTTATGTACTTTAGACTCTGGCTTGCTGTAGTAGCCATTTTGCACCATATATTGGGGTTAGGCAGCAGGAGTAGAATGTTTATTGGAGTTCAACGTCTTCTTTAGCTGTTTACCTATGCATGTAACTAGGAAAAATATAAAAGAATGAAGAAACAAAAACGAAGAGTCTATTATTTAACATACCATGCCGTGTATGTTTAGTCATTTGCTCAACCTTCATGATCACTTACCTGGAGGTTTGAAGGCAACTTTTTTTAGCCATTATTTTCATTCGCACACTCGCATCACTTTTGTTGGGTTCCCAGAGGATGTCGTCCACATAATAAGATCAACATGGCCTATAGAAGAATGCAGGGCTCTCCCCAAGCAATGAAGTAAGGGTGCTCCCCCTCTCACCATTTTCCTAGCACCCCTCCCCAAAAGTTGAAATTTAGGGTTTTCCCTTTAATAGCATTTTCATGCAAATTCGCTGATTTTTCCCTAGAAAAGACCGTGGAGAGACCCCTGGAATGCTATATGAACCTCGAGGCAATATTTGCCATTTTGTTCTTACGCTTACACTAGATCTGAGGCTCCCAGAGGATGTCATCCAAATAATCAACTCAACATGGCCTAAAGAATAGAATGATGTATGTACCTCATCAGACGACTACACAGTCAGTATTGGCTGTACGTAAATCCTATTATACAGACAATTCCGCACTGAGACGCCGCGTCTCTGTTTACCTCCCAGCAGCACAAATCATCCTCCAAACTCACCAGTCAGCAAATCCCCGACTTCAACTCATTAGGTACTACCAACTCCCAGTGTAGCACTACCATGTTAGGGTATATTAAACTATTCATTACTGAAGCTGTGTAAAATTGGAGCTGTGCAGGTCTTTCTCATTTCTACCCTCACTCGTTCATCTATTTAGTAGGTATATCTGACACTGACACAAGAACTAGAATGAATCGCATAGAAGTTAGAAATATCATTAAAAATTTCATGAAGTTTTGCGCGTCTTCAACTCCTTAGGTTTACCAACTCCCAGTGTAGCGCCATGTTAGGGTATATTAAACTATTCAGTACCCAGAGCGTGAAAGACTACCTGCACATGCATGTGAAATTGGAGATGTGCAGGTATTTCTCATTTCGACCTGCATTGGTCCATGTACTTGCTTTATGCAGGTTATTACAGGTATTTCTGACACTGACAGAACAACTAGACTGAATCACATGAAAGTTAAAGATATCAACAAATTTCATAAAGGTTTCATTACGCCAACTGGCAGGTGCCTGCGAAGCTGGTGTATTACGCCGAAGGGCGGTTATACTGGTTATATAATACAGATACAGAAGCTGTTGTGTTACCTGATGGGCGGTTATACTGACTTGAGAGATACAGAAATCACCAGACCCATTGTAGTCCGTTTTTCATTCTGGCAAGTCTTTCTGTACACGTTTCTATTCAGACAAATCCTCTTATGCAATGTACATGGCACCACATGACAGATAATGCCAGGCTGTATTTCATTTCTACCACACAGGATTACAATTTCATCAGAGTTGATTGTCTCATCTGTAATTTCTCGCCTAACCGTAGCATTAAAGAGGATCAGCATCTGGATAAGCTTTACATGTGATTTCCTCTTTATGGGATAGTGTTATGCGGGCTATTAGGAACGGGCAATTAATTTATGATGTGGAATTATACATGGGATTATTGGCAATGGGTCGTATTTTCAGTCAGTGACAGCTGTGTATGTATGGTTGTAAGAAAGATGCATTTTTTTCTTAAAAGAATTTGACGATAACGACCAACAATCTCATACTTTGCGTATTTGGGTGTATACAAAAAGAATAACATTAACGCTCATTACCCCTCTGGGTAATTAAGACATTAAGAAAACTATTATTGAGGCTTTTTCAGAATGTCTTGAACACCTGAAGTATGCATATAGTAGGGACTACTGATGCTGTATTATAGAGTTTTACATATATGTACAGATATATTTTAATTTTTCTAACTTGAAAACGTGACGCAGCATACATCAAATGAGGCAAATCAAATTCACTTCTTTGTGTGTCTATTTGACGAAACAAAATTTCTTTTTTAACATGAAATTCAAGTATATGAACGTGAATACTTGCCTCCAGCGATGCCAAATTTGTCTTCTTGGCGAATTGCCATAACGGAAGTTATCAGAAGCGATCGATTCATTGCTCATTGCATGAAAGAACAACCTCACTCCTGCAGGGCTTGAAATACATGTGCACCTTAGTGCTCCCAAATTTTGGAGTTGTGCACCCAGTTGTTTCTTGTGGGTGCACCAATGCAGCAAAAATTTTTGTATGTTAATGTATAGCAAGATGTATACATGCAGCATACCTTTAACATCTAAGTGTCAAAAATAGTGAAATCATTAATGATTCTTGTACTACCTTTGTTTAGAAATGAAACATAATTAGCTTTTGTTGACATAGTACTTATATGGTGCACCCAATTTATTTTGTGCACCCAATATTTTAGGTTGAATTTCAAGCCCTGACGTGGCAGCCAGACCTCTTCTTTATTTTGCCTACATTCTGACTTCCAGGCGCGCTATGATTGTAGAGTAAACGGGAAATTTGGGGTAGCTTTTTCTGGAGCCAAACAAAAGAAGGGCTGACATTCTGATGTTGACTACTTTTCTATTGTCCCCAAAATGCCCCAAATTGTCGTTTTAGCTGTCCCAGTTTAAATTTTAGTGGTCCCTGGCCATCGGGACACAGTTAATTTCGAGCCCTGCTCACTCCTGTCAGCCAGATCTGTTCTGTATGCCATGTGTGCAGCCCTGCATTTGAGCTTTATGTGCTTTCATTTCATACTATATAGTTTATGCGACCCCTTTTATAGCATCACTCTCTTTAATGTGTTTAATGTACGATGCCATATGGTCCTTTATTACCCGATAGAAACCAAGCCTAGTCATTTCAAGGTGAGGGTCGATCTGACAGCTTAGAATTAAGCTTCTTTCACGAGAAACTTTTAACCGTTTGTTCCGTAAATGGTTTTCTGCTGACATCACTGCCACTGTAATCTGGGGCCATTATCAGTGGGAAACTTTACGGTGGAAGTTGATAGTGTAAGATATTATACATAGGGAGGTGGTTGTCACACACTTTGACTTCCAGCAAAATTACTTCAATTTCCAAGTAGTGCACTTAAACTAGTACGTTGCACTTCTTGAGTAAAGACAGTGTATATGGCAGTCTGAACATTATCAGAGAGACAATTAACGATAGTAGTTGATAGTACAGTGCAAGATATTACACAAGGAAGAGGTGGTTGTCACATAGTTTGACTTCCAGCTTAATTACTTCTATTTCCAAGTAGTGCACTTAAACTACTGCGTTGCACTTGAGAAAATGCAGTGTATATGGCAGTCTGAATATTATCAGAAAGACACTTAACGATGGAAGTTAATAGTGCAATATGTTATACATGGGGAGGTGGTTGTCATACGGTTTGACTTATAGCAAAATTACTTCAATTTCCAAGTAGTGCACTTAAACTAGTACGTTGCACTTCTTGAGTAAAGACAGTGTATATGGCAGTCTGAATATTATCAGAGAGACAATTAACGATGGTAGTTGATAGTACAGTGCAAGATATTACACAAGGTATAGGTGGTTGTCATACAGTTTGACTTGTAGCAAAATTACTTCAATTTCCAAGTGCACTTAAACTAGTATGTTACACTTGAGAAAATAAGTGTATTTGGCAGTGTGTGAACAGGCCTAGTTTTAATCACGGGTCTTTCCTACAATATAAAGATCAGCAATTTTCTGCTAGAAATTTGAACAGGCAACATGCAGACTGATAGAGCAAACCAATTACAGATAACCTTTTGGATTGCCTGCTCTTCTGAAGTTTAAACCACACCCATTCAATTTGTTAGCTCTGGGATCTTAGAAAATGCTGTAGAGCTAGAAGATTAGCGTAGTTTTGAGGGTAAGTCTGTACCTTGCTTTTAATGGTTTCACGGAGCAAATGTAGTCAAATTTTGGGGGTCTACTCTGCTATATACTAGTATTCTTCCTGTTGTCGCCTTGCTGCTTTTTTTGCATCCGAAAACCAAGAAAATCGCCTAGTGTGACCTAAAATCTTACTAAATCTACCCTACATCTAAAAGTACCTCCTTTCTGATAGCCTTGTCACCGACGTACCTGAACTGAAACATGGTTTTAAGGAGC